TGCTAACCTCAAGCCTCAGACCTCTGCCTGCCATCTGCCTCCGAACCCACCTGGTTCCCTCCTTCGGCCTGCTAACCTCAAGGCTCAAGCCCCTAGTCAGTCACCAGCCTCAGAATCCTCCTTGGACTATCTCCTCTGCTGCTCTACTCAGCTCCAGGCAGGAACCCAGCTTAGACCAGCCCTGGACCTGATGACATTCTGATCAGCTTATTCTAATAAACCTTTGAACTTTTTCCCTGCCTCCTCCGTGTGTGTTCTGCATTTGGGCTAGTAACACAACCCATCATGACAGAACACTGCGGCCAACAAGCTAGCCCCGCGGAAACACCCTCAGACTCCTTCAATCGTATTCTCTGGTTCTTCAAACAGTCCATAGATGATCTTTCCAGCATTACACCACCCCGTGAACGGATATCTGCAGCTGATATAATTACCACCGAACTCAAGAAATATCCAGACATCAACAATAACAATAAGCCGGATATGTCAACCTAATCAGCTGGAATATTCAGGACGCTTTTTCAAAAATACCATTCAAACTTTCTCCACCTACCTCCGGACCTGATTCTCCATCTGCTGCAGCTGCTGGTCCGCCTTTGCCTTCTGCCTCCTCCGGGCGTAGGAATCGCCGCCGGGGTAAGAGAGCCACATCTTCTTCTGTGGTTCTGCTCCTTCTCCGGTGGGTCAGTCTGACGCCTCCATCCTCCCTGTAGTCCAGCCAGCAGCAGTAATCAGTTCAGCTTATTCTAATAAACCTTTGAACTTTTTCCCTGCCTCCTCCGTTGTCATAAGCGCAACTACAAACGATTATTTACATATGAGCCATGATTAAAAGTTGAATTTCAGATGGTTGTGTTTCTATGAAACATAAACAAGCTGCAGTGTGACTTCTGTAATAAATATGCCACCATGCTGATCATTGAGAGTATTTACAATGTGGCACGCGAAAAAAAAAGCAATCTGGCACCTTTCACCTGATTGTAATTAAAGGTAAAGTGGAGGATCTTTTCCGGGTGGATCATCAAAATAAGTGGTCCTCCTAATTGTCAATCATTCTGATCTTCTGATCATATTCACTTCAATCTGACATAGTATAAAATTTGCCAATTTGCTTTTGGAAAGTAAACTTTCAAAATTCGCGAAGATCCTCCACTGTACTCTAAATTGGAGCGGGATCACGGTCAGTCTACAAAGATTACATCACCAACAGGAATCAAAAAGATTGCTGAATCCCTATTTTCAAAATAAGTTCATTAAAATGGATGTTTAACTGCCTGCTTACAACACATCATAAGAGTCAAATTTTGTAGGTCATCCAGTATGAAGCACTCCAGAATTAATAGTTATTACAGCTTTTTGTCACACAAGCATTTAGTGCTTCTTGATGGGCTGCTTCCTCTGACAGCTACTGTAATTTGTAAATCTTGTCTTTGCCTTCAGCCTGTCACATTTCAAAGGAATGCAGGCGTGTGCCGTCACCTCATGTGTAAACACAGAGCGCTGACCTCACAGTGACCCAGGGCAATCAAAATTTAGGCACACTTGTCACTTGGCTGATTTCTCACCTAAAATGCTTAGACGTGTTAGCTGTTCTCACTGTTTGATTTACAGTAGGCAAAGTTACACTCTGGGCTTCAGGTTTGGGGGATCTTTGGATTAATACATTCTTAATAGCTTACTGTGTTCCTTCAATCTCTTAAAAAAAAAGGTTCTTTCTTTTTACTTTAAAAGAGCTGTGAAAGACAATTGATAAAAAATAAGTTGTATTATGCTTCATTTACTTTTAAGTACACTTTAAAAGCAGTGAATTCTACTTAAATTTAAAGAAGATCAATATTATCTGACTATAAAATGTAACATTTTGATTGTATATAAGCTTATGACATTAATATGAACATTTACTGAATAGCTCTTTGATTTGACATGAATCATTTGGCTCTAATGAGGTAGAGACTTTCACTGATGACAGATTTGTGATTGATTGATTTACAACTAGATACACCTCCGGCTGAAAGTTTTTTGAGGTCTTACCAAAAGAGCCAGCAGGGCTCATCGTGAAGCTGAGAAAAGCGTCACCCTCTCACAATCACTCACGGCTCAGCACACATCTCACCTGGGGCAATCTGCACATACTGAGCTTTACGTGGGGTACTAACTAGGTATAATCTGCTGGAGCCAATACACAACATTAGTGACCAGCCCCCCTTCTACCAACTGGATGCTACCCCTCCTCCTGCAGTTATCTGAAAAGAAGAGGGAGAGTCGTTAGTGGGGGTCTCACACAGCCCACTTGTTCAGGCCCCAGCGGGGGTTTCGATGCAGGGCGGTAGAGATAGGGGAGCAGGGTGAACACAAATCAATTCATATCCAACACAGCAGTAGTGATAGCTTAAAAACTGAAATGTTACGTGAAATCACATCCTTTAGGTCACCTTGTTTGTTCAATTTTTCTCCTACTTTAAAATCTCTTTCTGTGGGCATGTCTGAGTGAAGTTTTAGTAATTGACATAGTTCCTCCCCTTTGCACAGCAGGGTTGGACCAGGCTAATCATGTCCTACTGTTGTTACATGCCAAAGAAGATGTAAAGATTAGTTCCGGTATTCGGATTCCTGGATGTGTCTGTCCTCCTCTAGCATTAATCCAGGCTGAGGTCCATTTCCATTCATTTAACTCATTTAACATATTTTCATGGAAAAAAGTGAATGTGTTAAAAGCTCTTTGATCATCCCAAAGTTTGATTACGAAGATAAACAAGATAATATAAACTGTATCACTACTGGAAATGCTTTGCACCTGCCATGACCTCACCAGAACAAAAATAAATAAATAAAGCGATTTAAAGCCATTTTAACTTCACTATTTTAGCTTTCAATACCTCAGAAACAGTCCTGAAGTGATCCCACAAAATCTGCGCCTGGTGGTGAGGACACCCCCTGCTGGCAGAGAATGGTAACCCACCCTACTTCCTCTGAAAGAATAAAAATAAAAAAAGTTTTGAACCAACCTTAAAGTAAAAGAGTGCTGAGTGATAAACTTCTTAAAATAACTGTTAGTTGTAGGTTTGCTATCTTATCAGCAATTTGCTGACACTCACAAGTGTGAACTAATTGACTAATTAATAGTAAGAGGCAAAACCTTCGATGCTTCCTTTGTCTCTATTAAAAATTGCATTTCTTTTATTCTACCACAAATTCTCAATTGGATTTAGTTTTACCATATGGATCTGCTTTAATCTAAACAGCTTTACTGAAGTTCTGAGAGCATGTTTAGTGTATCCCTGTTGAAGGTAAACTTTTGCCTCAGGCTCTGTTTGCATGACAACCCTCCATCCAAACTTGGACTGTTTTTCCAAATACTCAGGACTTTACTAGATATGTTAAAAATCACCACTAAAAGTTAGCATGTTCTTTGTAACTCAGAGACATTTACATTCGTACATGCAACCAATGCTTTAAAAAAAAGTGCCATTAAGTTATAATGTGCCTGAGCCACTGATTTCCCAGACAGGAAGATTAGGGGGCTTTTCCACTGCCTGTTGAACCCCTGAGGCTCAAATAGCCTTGGTAGCATTTCGATAAACACATTCACGGCTAATTTCACTTAAGCTCTGTCCCTTCTCAGAGATCGGTCTGAGAAACATTCCCAAGATTGTTAGTAGGGGTGGGATTGTATTTATCATGATATTTAGAAATACACTTGCCTTCATTGCGATGCAACGTCTCCCATGATCAATGCAGGACATTGGTGACCTCACGCTTTCCCAGACATGGAGGGGCTGCTGCTGTTCAGAGTAGCATTAAAAAAAATACACAGACATGCATTAAATAAAGCAAAATCCACTTTACTAATGCTTTTGATGAAGAAATAGCACTATGACACAGTCGAAAAACTACACTTAAACTATATAGTATAGGTCCATTTATTATAAACTGTTTAACCCCAATTCAGTAAGAAGAATATTTTAATATAGCCCAAAGAACTAACAGAGAACTTTCACTTTTCCTTTTTTAAAGAAAATATATACACAGTCTCCTTAGACCCTGTCAGCAAGATACTTTTAATCTCCATTTCCTAACATTTCTACTTGATATAAATATTTAATTATAATTAGACAACCACTGTTTAAATACCATGTACCTGCATGACCTACTCTAATGAATAAATCTTTGTATTTGTTGCAGACATCAGAATCATGCAGTTGTGAACCAATGACTGGTTTGTAAAAGATGAAAGTTGAATAATTACGGTAATTAAAAATTTCCTGCTTATGGATCCAGACTAGGCTATTATTGGAAGTAAATAACCAACTGCATAACTCTAAATCTCCTCATCAACTATGATTTAACATTTTAAACAACAATGAGTAAAACATGTTTTAATAAATCTATAATTGTTTAGAAATTTACAGCTTTTCTTCGTTAATGCATGAATATAACCTTTTAACTCAATTTGGGCATCCTCTTTCCACTTACTGGCTGAAATAAATGATGGCGTACCACTTTGCAGCCGCAGTAAGTAACTTCATCTTCCACCACAGATGTGATTTGTGTCTCTGTGAAAGAACAAATGTGAGATACAGCCGCTCCATGCTTAGACAGCTGGTATGCAACATTTGAGACTGTTCATTTTAAACAACACAACAGAAGCCTTGGTTGCTTCTAACAACACCTCGATTCACCATCATCACACAGGTGGCTTCTGGACCCCCCCCTCCCTATCTGCCTGCCAACTGTTCCTGTATTACACACTGTTGCAGCAGCTAGCGTACATAACACTACTGTATCTCTCTCTGTCACAGGGCTACCGAGATAGCAGCTTTAGAAAGCCTTACGTAAAGTTTTCTGGTTCTGAAAGCTTCCCTTTCCTCTACTAGGTGGCAATAATCAAGCAACAACACATGCGCAGCTGTTAAAGACTTAGACAACTTTTATTGTCATTTAGTCAAAATTTAGTTTTGTACCGCTTTAAGACGGTGTATGAGCAGCAGCTTAGCAGTGAAACGAACAGGGGGAAAAAAAACAACATGGTGCAAAAGCGTGTTGATAAGGAAGTTCAGAGCATTAAATATATATGGTGCAAATATGATAAAAGATAGAATATATTAAACTCCAGATTGCAACTTATTCAATTCAAGGTTATCCATCGTTTGCACTTTTCTAAAACCAAACTTAATAAGCTGTTTCCTAGTGTCTCTCCTATATGTGACAAATGTAAATCAGACAATGGGACTTTGGGTCATATGTTTTGCTCTTGCCCTACGCTTATGGACTTTTGGTACAGAATATTCAAATTTTATAGTAACGCTTATGGCTAAGCTCTATATCCGGAAAACCATTTGATAATTCTGGGTTGCTCTAAATTCTCTGTTACTCTTCCCATGTCTATGCAGCAGGCTCTAATGTTTGGTTTGGTGGTTGCAAAACGGGTTATTCTGAGGGAATGGAAATCCTCTATACCTCCATGCTTTAAAAAATGGCTCAATGATATGGTGTCCTGTATCTATCTCGAAGAAAATCAATACTCTTTGTCAGACAATCAAGATAAGTTTCTAGATGTGTGGGGTCCTTTTAATAGACATATTCAAAATAATGGGTTAAAATGACTCTTTTCTGGACCTCTTTTCTTTTTTTTATTCTTTTTTTTATTATTTATTATCTCAATACTGTCATCCTTTATTGTACTCTTTTTATTGATATCCCATGTTTTATGTTGATCCGCTTGATACAATGTCTGCAGAATTATTTGTTGTCCTCTCTGACTCTGCCTCGTGCTTTAATGTGCTCTATTAATATAATAATAATATAATTATTCTCTTATCAGTTCTTCAGTTTGCTGACACTGTTTTGTCGTTTTTTTGTTTTTGTTATACTTGTTTTGCTGTATTTTATTTTATTTTTTCTCTTTTTTGTCTTGTCCGTTTAACTCTGAAAATGCAAAAATAAAATAAAAAAAAATAAAATAAAAAAAAAGATAGAATAAATTGTCCAGACCATGTTGTCTTGTGTCTGTTGACACAATACATTTTTAGTGTATATCCAATTGTAAAATCCAATTTCTGTCAGTTACATTTAGGTGCATGTGTAATAAAATATATAAACTCTTTTTAAGGGTGCAGAAAACTCATCAGTATCTATTGTTTAAAAAGGTAAGAAATATTCACATTTTGCTCAAAAGCAAAGTTAAGTTTTTAAATATCTTCAAAAGACTCTCACAATGATTTGTTGGAACTGGACCACATTAGTAGCACACATCTTTTCACACTTTTCCAATGTTTCTATGGGACTGAGATTTTATAAAAAAACATTTTGCTCAGAAAACTGTTCAACATCTGGAACACCTGACCCCATTGCCTTCTTGTTTATAAGAGTGTATAACTTTTTATTAATATCTTTTAACATCATCAAGTATTGTCTGACCTGCTATTTTCTATTACCCAGTGAGGCAGTGAGTTTTATTTTCCCCTTTAAACAATTTCCTAACATCCAAAGTTACTAAATTAGCTTAAAAATTAACTTAGAAAGCAATGATGTCATTAAACCAATCCAAAAATAAGACTTTAAATAGCTATTATTAGCAACTTTTATGTAAAAATGGTGGCAGTATTCTGCATTCAGCAAATTTATATCATTTTAGCGATTCTAATTAACCAAAAACAGGAAAATGTTTTGTCTTATTACATATACGAGTAAAGTAAAAATATCTGTTTATTGTGTCTTAATTTTTTAACAGTTTAAAAAAAATCTTGTTTCCACCCTAGCAATGCAATATCCCATTATTTGTTTAACTTCTACAGCTAACAGCTACAGCTAACTGATACAGACGGTTACTGGGACATCAAAAATTAAAACATATTTTCATCACCAAGTTCTCACCACAAATGTACCTTTATGCAACTTAGCTGGTTTTGTATAAATCAGTAAAAACTTGAGCTCACCGATAGGTTACCAGTCAATTTTCGGTTTCAGAAATGGGCGTGGCTTTCAAGCCCGCCGGTCCGGTGCCCTTCAAAATAAAGGCATGGCATGGAGAAACTTTCGTTGTATTTCCTGCCCTCATCGTAGCTTTTGCTTGTGTTCGAAATTAAAGCAGGTCTTATACATATATAAATATATACATATATTTAGATGTAATATATATTTTTTTATAGCTACAGGGTTTACTCGGAATAAAGTCAT